CGCCCCCCACGTGGCCGCGGGAACCGACCGGGGCATCACCTGGCGGCCGCGCCGGGCTCCCCATCCAATCGGCGCCCGCAGAGCCACTCCGCTCGGCGCGCCGCCCAATCAGAGGCCGCAAGGGTCCTTGGCACCGCCCACCCTGCCTGCGCCCCGGACGCTCCGCCTTAAAGGGCCGGGGGCGCCGTCAGCGCCTGCCAGGGGCTACTCTTCCCTGCTCCTCCTCCTCGGGGGTGCTGAGGCCTCCCGGCCAGGCTGGCAGGTCCCCACCTCTGGACAGTCTTCTCCCGTGGCGCCTCCTGTCATCCCGACCGCGCCTCCTCTGAGAAGCCTTCCCTGACCACCGGCCTGCCCGGCGCAGCGCCCCTCTGGCCGCTTGCTCTGCCTCTCTCTGCCTCGCGTGCGAGCGGCACTGGACGGGGCGGTCTCTATGCCCAGCCCAGGACAGCGCCTGGTCACAGTAGCATTCAGGGTTGATGGTTTCGACCCGGGCTTTGGGGCCTCCGGGCCGCTGTCACCTTCCCCCGGACCCGGGGTGTCCAGCATCCTCCTCCCACCTGGTCGTGCTCAGGGGCGTGGACTGAGCCGCCTATCTCCAGGCTCCGTCCTGAGCAGTGACCCTGTCCTTCGGGCCACGCGGAAACCCAGAGATGGGGAAGTTCAGCTACAGCCCAGAAGGGAGAGGCTTGCGTTTCCACCAGGCGCCCCGCAGATGCCAGAAAATAAAGAGCGAGTCCGAGTCGACCAAGCTTTTGGTGTGCAATAAACCTGAAATCCGCAGAGAAAGCCCCCAGAAACTGCCTATGCCCGGCTCCGCGGAGATGCCAGGACGCCGGGCCAGGTGCAGCAACACAGACACAGGCGGACCTGGGCTGGAGCCCGGGGATCTCCGGAGGAGGAGGCGGAGCCGCTGGGCCGCTCGGGGCATCGCCTTCTCCTCCCAGAACACCCGGAAGCCACAGTGAGGTGTCTCTTACTAGGAAAAGCCGATGCCTGAATCGCTTTAACCCTCGGAGTCTGGCTGCAAGGTAGGGTTAGCGGGCCGTGACTTGGCCCAAAAGGGAGCCAAAGAGGGCAAAGGGCGTGGCCCAGTGCCAGCCCCGCGGAAAGTGAACCGCTCGGTAAATATTAGCTGATATTAGTCCTCGCTCCTGTTCTTCAGTTTCTCTTGTATGTTATTGAACAGCAAATATTTACCAAATCAACATATCAAGTGCTCTGGGAAAGGGCCTCACCATGGCTGACGCCGAGTACTGAAAGGAAAAGGAGCAGGGTGGTTTTCCAGTTGGTCTCGCTCTCCACAAATCCAGTTTCGGAAACACAGGATACACAAAAATTAAAGGTTTTGCCGGGCATGACGCCACATGCCTGTAACCCTAGCACTCAGGAGGCTGAGGCAGGACGATTGCCATGAATTCGAGGCCAGCCTGGGCTGCGCAGCGAGACCTTATCTCCAAAAAATATTTTTAATTAACTAATTAAAGGGGTAAGTCTTAACTCTAAAAAATCAAGTGGATTTTAAATAGAAGTTACTAGATCCACAGTCCCTGTTTTAAGTTACTAGATCCACAATCCCTGTTTTAAGACTATTTAGAGAGAAACAAATGAAGAATATTCTATTCAGTACTGAAACTAACAAGTCTCTGGTGCATACATTTCATTCTGATACATTTAAAAACAGCAGGAATTTGTTTCTGGTCAAAATGTCAAAAGACCAAAGAATTAAATTCAGATGAAGAAATAGTTAAACCCCGAGGAAGAATTTTGCCATCTCAGCCTTAGGCAAAGACAGAGGGTAAAGATATGAGTGGCAGGCAGTGTGCTAGGTCCCAGGGACACAAAGTTGACAATAAAGCACACAAGACACCACAAAAACCAGATCTGGAAAGACAAATGTATTCAAAGTCTGTAACATTGGCTCCTGGTCTTACTGCTACCAAGAATTCTCTTCTATTTGTCTTTACCCCTAACTAGGAATACAGTGTTTCAAAACCAAATGCAGTTGTACATTTGAAGTTCATTACTTTTTTATTTATGTATCACAGTAATGTCATGTTTGAGCTGTTCCCCCAGATTACCAATTATCAGTTGATCTAATTCCACTAAAACCCAGAAACTCCAAGCTTTGACCACACATGTAGCCTTATCAAAGGAGCAGCGTGTTAGAGGTACAAGCTCACAGGCGTCTGTGGAAGGTAACAGACTTTAGTGAGCCTCAGCCTTCTCCTGGGCAAGATGCCCGTGTCCCACCACAGACGGCAGCCTGAAGCAGTCATCCCTGCATCATCTGCCCAGGCGTCTGCGCTCACACTTCTGCCTGAACAGCTCTCAGGAGCCACCAGGTGTAGAACCT